GTCTTCCCGTGGTTGGGGTTTGCTGGGCATCGGCATCCTGTCCTGTCGGGTCCGTCCCCCCTCACTCACGCGAGCTGCCGAGGGAGGAGGGTTCTCTTGCAGGCCCTGCTGCTGTACAGTTCCTTTCGTGCCCGGGCCCTATGCATCCAGATGGGGGTTCCTATCCTGTCCTGTCCTGTTCTCTACCAGGGGATGGAGCCCGGGATCGGTAGCTGCTGCTGAAGGGGTTTAGTAAGAGGGATTTGTGTCCCGAGGGGCATGTGCCTTCGTTGCCGCCGGTGCTGGCTCGTGGTAGACGTGGAGACCAAGTTCAAACCAACGGGCGCACGATGAATTGGAAAAGGTGAAGAAGTGAACCGGGATGAGCCATGGTTGAGAGCTCTGGAGGCCGCCTGCAGACTGGGTCTCTCTCCATCTCACACGCTATCCGTACGGAGAGAGACCTTACAGAGAGTGAGAGGATGCCAGTTTTGGAGGGGCGCGCGTGATGGGATCGACACTACCTTCCATGGTCCAGCGGGTTTTTCCTCACTCTCTCACTCACTCTCTCTCTCTCTCTCTCACTCACTCTAACTTTGTAATAGTCTCTGTGTGGGGTTTCCCTGGTCAAAGAGACTGAGGGAAATGCCGTTCGTCGTGGTCTACGTCAAACGAGCCAAATTAACAGCGCAAAAAGCTCCGAATTAAGCGCGGCCGAGGAGGGAGCAGCAGTAGCACCGTAGCACAAGCAGACTGCTGTTAGTCTCTTTCCCCTTCAATCCATGGTTTCGGCGCCGACCTCCAGAGTGAATGGCAAGCAGCCTACCCTGGCTTACAGGATTTTTGTCTGCCCAGTGCATTTGTTACAGTGATGAACGGGCACAGCCCCAGGCCCCAGAGTGCTGTCGGCACCGGCACATTCAGAGTAGCGGTGATTTGTACTGATTGGAGACTTTTGGTGTGTCGATCGCCGGGCAAAGACCAGATTGGGGGGTGTGTTTCTTGAGCGGCCGTTTTGGATCTGCTCGTTTTCGTCTTTTCTTTGAGGGACTTAGTCATGGAGAGGAAGCATCGCCATCGTCATGTTGTATGGAGTACTGTTGCAGGGCTTCAACGAGAGCAAGAGAAATCGCAGGCGAGTGGCAGTGTAAGTAAAAGTACGTACAAGCTGTAATTTCCAGCTGCTGTTACTCGCAATTCAGTCGGTACGTCCATGGTTTCGCTCTCTATTTCGCGGCCCGAGGTGTCTGGTAGAAAGCACAATAATAGAAGTAAACTAAACAACAAAGAAGAAGGAGACGGCACATGGGAGCAGGCCGATTACAAGCGGCAGACTAACAGACCGCCGAAGAAGCGGGATGGGCTTGTTGACGATGCGGCATTACCGCTTCTTACGCAGTAGAGCGCAACAATAAGCATCGACGGATCATGGCAAAGACTGGAGGGAGCAGCAACGGCGACGGCAATGTGTGGCGGTGGCCGCGGCACTGAGTTAGATTGACGCGGCTTTCTCCAAATGTTTCTCCAAAAAAAAAAAAAAAAAAAAAAAAAAAAAAAGTCGGTACATGCCGACTTCAAAGTTCCTTATTCTACAGAGCACACAGCAAGATTGATGACTGGCATGAGGGCGCCGGCGAAAGGGCCGGGTTTCTTTGGTGGGTGGTCTTCCGGCGGCTGTGGAGTCTCACAAAGATGAGTTCGTGAAGAAGCAAATGAGTATCCGTAATCCCTCAGCTATCCTCTTCGAGAGGGAACAAAAAAAAGGCGCACAATAGAGATGACGAGGGAAAAACAAAGGATAGCGTAGCTCGAGCTGGACTGGAGCTGCCTTCTGAATACTCTCCGATTGGTAAATGACGCGGCGTGGGATGGCGACCTTGAGCAGGCGAAATTGGGGGTGAAGACTGGATTCGGCATGCGTCTCGTCTAGCTTCCCCCAGCTTTTTTTCTGTGTAACCACAGAGCTCTCTGATGCATTGGAATGTTGGATGACACTTTGAAAGCAGCGACTGGCGCAGCCTGCAAGGCAAGTCAGAGGAATCACCTAGACGAAAGAGCAAAAATGCAGCCAGCAGCACCTCTGGATGTGGGCATCCCGGACGCGGGCACCGCTAACTGCTTGCAGCAAACCGAGACCTGAACTCTTGCTCCACACTCACAACTCACATTGCAGCGGCGGTCAGCTCGCTCCTGTGCCTGGCTCCAGTCCCCCGTGGTGGGTGTTGCTGGTGATGGATGGGGGTGGTGTTTGTTGTTGTTGGAGAAACGGTGAAAAAAGCATGTCGAGAGCACTTGCACCAGAGAGGGAATGGATTGTGGCAGTGCCAGCGCCTATCGGGTCTCCTCCGCTCCTCCATGTCGTTCTCCTCCGTGTTCCCCTTCTCCTTTGCAGCAGTGTCTACTCTGCATTCTCGTGTGAACCTGTGAGCCAGTCGTGGGAGGCAGACAATAATCAGGAAAGGAAACTATTAGCGGGACCAATTCTTTCATTCTCTGCCTTCAACCTGTGTACTTCGGCTGGAGCAGCAGAGCTGGATTCAAGCTAAGCTACCTTGGCTGAGAGGATCTCAAATGGACGGATGGATCGATGGGGCGGCCAGTGGGATGAGTGCAAAAACCAGATGCAGGGCTGTAGGGGAGGGGGGAGACGGTAACGGGTTCTGCGGGCAAGGGAAGGGAGGGGCGTGAACGAGAAGGGGGTGGGTAGGGGACCATCGGAGGGTAAGGGGAGCTTTTCTGTGTGTCTCAGTGAGTCTTGTCATGGACTCGTTCCTCTGGGAGAGATGATGGAGGTCGAGAGAGGGAAGAACAAGAGAGCAGAGACGGGAACAAGAACAAGATCAGAGGATGGATCATGGACCAGAAAGCACATGGGTGCGGGAGCCCTCTTCCTCCTCCTCCTCCTCCTCCTCCTCCACACAACCTCCACAGCCCGCACCAAAGCCAAGCCAAGTAATAAGTGGTCAGCATCGCCAACCTGGTCAAGCATCTCTGGTATCCATACTCCGTAGACAGTTACACTACCGAGTACGGAGTAGGTGTCTAGCAAGACAGGAAGGGCTAAGGCAAGGTAGAGGACGGGTATCGAGCGTGGTGCCGCGAGCACGGGGCAAGATGCGCCAAAACCTTGATTGGTTGTCACTGGCAAAGTCCTCTGAGAGCCTCCCTTGCGCCAAGAGATACTTGGATATCCAACTCTCAAGACTTCACCAACGTGTAATTTCGCATCAACGCCTCCAACCCTTTCTATGAGCGATTTATCACCCTCAATACTTGCAACCCTTTTTTACTTTGAACCAGGTCGGGTGTTTACCTACCATAGCCGTGCCTTGTCTCTCTCTCTCTCTCTCTCTCTGTCAGTCTCTGCCGCTGCTCCCATTTTTATTTTTATTTTATTTCAATTTTCTTCTTCTCTCGTTCTAAACGCCCTCCCCCCAAGCCAACCACCACACACACCCCCGTCCACCCATTTCGTCTCCTCCAAAGCGCAACCGAGCCTCCTGAGTCCTGCCCCCCTTGGTGCGGCCGCACGCAACGTTGTTTCTGTGACACGCCTCTCGCTCTTGATTTGGACACCTTTTATTTTTATTTTATTTTTTCATTTTTTTTGCTTGCTGGCCCTGCTCATTTCAAAACAGCCCGGCCTGGCTTAGCCGCGCCGGAGCAAAAAGTCTCGCGCATGAGGGCATGAGATTCCCGTCCTTTCTGTCAGACTTGTCGGCCACAGTACGCTCGGCACGTTGGATTCCCCGTGCCATTTCACCGCCTCCTGGCGCCGTAGATACAACCAGCCGTCCAACCTCCATCCTTCTTCGCACGTCGCCCGTCTCCCGTCGGCCATGGTCGTTGTGTCGTCGTCTAGGTAGTAAGGATAGCTGCTGATGTTGCCTATAACGGTCAGGTCTTGGCCTTCAGGCCTTGTTCCTGTTTGTCATTGCTCACCACCTTCGTCCTCATCGCCCATGCCTTGTCGTGTCTCTTGTATCGTCTGGCCTGTCTGATCTGGGGAACGCGACTTTGAACTTGCACCCCCATTCCCTCCTTCTTTCTTGACTATACGCCCTGCCCATCCCATCCACCTGCTCGGGAGTCAGAAAAAAAGCCGCTCGCTTGGTGTTTCCCGTCCTCCTCCCCTCCCTTTCCTGCGCCCAAAACAGGCTCATATTGTGTTCCTCTTACTTGACACCATCCCAAGTCGATCCAAGTCAAGCAAAGCGTCGAGTCCCAGCCCATGCCATGTGATGGAATAATGCGGATGCCGCAATTTCCGCAAGGGCGGTGCGGCGTGTACAGTACCGTACCTTTTGGGAGCTGTTGATTGTCTCTCGTAAACATTTGCATACACAGATGCCAAGAGCTCGTGATAGACGTGAGGGTTAAGACGGATACCCTCTTCTGGACTTCCCATCCATGCTCTCGTCTCGTGGCCCTGCCGTGTCCATTTCTTATATAAGTCCCTGGAGGTTTTGCAGGACGTTGCAGTGCAGATCTGCTCACAGACTCGCTCACTTCTCACTTCTCTCCCTTCTCTCCCTCTCCTCTCTGAGTGAGGCCTCCCTCCTGTTGTTGTTACTCTGAGCTGTCCTAACAACCCGGAAAACCCTATTCTACCCTACCCTTATTCTTATCTTGAAATCACGTTACACCAAAAAAGTTGACAGTCCAAAAAAGACCGCATAGAAAAAAAATGGACGACGAGGTTGAGCTCAAACACCAAAAGGAGGCGGCTGGTGACCGTATTCGCTGGGACGCCGACGAGGAGGCCGGCAGGAAGGCTCACCGCTCTAATGCTGGCCCGGCTCTTCATCATGCCCGGTCAAACACGTCAATGTCTATACACTCGGTCCGGTCGAGACGCAACTCCATCGACGCTGCCGCTGAGCTTCCCATCCAGTACCGCACGGTGTAAGTGTGGAAACATGCGACTTTGAAAGAAAAGAAAAACATGACAAGAAATGCCTCATCAACATCTTTCCCTCGGCTAACAACACTCTTCGCAAAGTTCTTTTGAGATTGAAGAGTACAAGTCAAAAACCGAAGCCGTCAAGAAGGCCAAAAATGTCGCAACAGGTTCGTAAAGTCATCTAACAAGCCTCTTCTTGTTCTGTTGTGTTTCGAAAACAGAGTGAACTACAGCGACTAATACCATCTGCACTTTCTGCAGAACTCTCGGAACTTGAATGGCACACCCTCTCCGTCGACGAGGTCCTCAGACGTCAGTCGTCTTCCCTCGCAGACGGCCTCTCTCCGGACCAGATCCAGCGCCGCACAGCACACTATGGCAAGAACGCGCCCTCTCCCGCCCCGACAAATCACACGAAACGCATCCTCGGATACTTCTTCAAGGGCTTTGGTACTGTCCTCCTCGTGGCTTCCATCCTCGTCTTCATCGCGTGGAAGCCCCTGGGAAGCCCGCCCGCCGTGGCTAACCTGGCGCTGGCCATCGTGCTGCTCGCCGTGTTCTTCATCCAGGCTGCCTTTAACATGTGGCAGGACTGGTCCTCTTCCAGGGTGATGAATTCCATCAAGACTATGCTGCCTGAGAACTGCATGGTTATCCGTGACGGCAACCAGGTTGAGCTCATGGCTGAGAACATCGTTCCTGGTGATATCCTCATTGTCAAGTCGGGCAACAAATTGCCAGCCGATGTACGTTTCATCAAGGTCTCTTCTGATGCAAAGTTTGACAGAGCTATCTTGACTGGTACGTTGTTTTCTATTTATATTTTGCATCCAATTAGGCACCCCTGATCCATAACGTTGATCCTATTCCAGTGTTGGATTTGATCACTGACAAGGTACAAAACAACAGGAGAGTCCGTACCTTTGCCTGCTGCTGTCGATTCGACCGATAACAACTACCTCGAGACTCGATGCATCGGTCTTCAGGGCACACATTGTGTCTCTGGCACTTGCACTGGTATTGTCGTGGCCACCGGCGACAATACCATTTTCGGACGCATCGCTAAGCTGACCAACGAGCCCAAAAAGGGGTTGACGACTTTGGAACGCGAGGTTTTGCACTTTGTGCTGATCATCTGCTCCATCATGTTCCTCATGATTGTGCTTGTCTTGATTGTTTGGTATGCCATCAAGCCAGATCCACGTATAATCAGGGGTCAAATGCTAACTGTTAATTCTTTACGAACAGGGGTACATGGCTTAGGAAACAGTATCCTAACTGGATCAACGTTCCCAACTTGATCATCTCTTGCGTCTCTGTCGCCGTGGCTTTCATTCCCGAGGGTCTGCCCGTTGCTCTGACGGCAAGCATGACCATCAGCGCCAACATGATGCGGAAGAATAAGATTCTGTGCAAGTCGCTCAAGACTGTCGAAACACTTGGATCCGTCTCGATTATCTGTTCCGACAAGACGGGTACACTCACTCAGGTAAGTTGCACTGTTATTCATACTTCATCTACTATAGTCCAGAGACTGACCAATCACCTTGCAGAACAAGATGATCGTTACAGAGTGTGCCATCGGTACCATGAAGATGACGGCCGACGGTGCCCGGGACAAGATCGCAGTCGACCGACACAACCACCCCAATAACAACTCGTTGGAGCAGCTTCGTGCGCTGGCTGGTCTCTGCAACGCTGGTCAGTTCGATGCCGCAACCGTTCGCTTGCCGCTCCACGAGCGCGTCATCCACGGTGATGCTACGGACCAGGCCATCCTGCGCTTCTCCGAGAGCCTGGGTCAGACCGCCGAGCTGCGCCGCTGCTGGCAGACAAAGTACGAGCTTGCCTTCAACAGCAAGAACAAGTACATGATTCGGGTCCTCGGCATGTCACACCCCGACGGGCTCTCCCTTGCTTTGCCTTCTGACACTGCTTCGGTGTTCCAGCCTGGCGATGTGTAAGTCTCCATCTTGAACATGATTTCAAAGGAAGAACATTATCTAACACAGCAACTAATCTAGTTTGTTGACCATCAAGGGTGCTCCTGATGTGCTCATGCCAAGATTGAGCAACTACGTCAATCCTGCCGGATACACTACTTCTCTGGATCCTTCAACCCGTGCATCTATCGAGCAGATTAAGGATGATTGGTCGGCCCAGGGACGTCGTGTGCTATTGCTCGCTCGCAAAGCCATCTCAAGATCTGCCCTCAAGGGCCACCCGTCTGACAGCGCCTACGAGATGGAAATCAACAACCAGGCGAAATCCGGTCTTACGCTCGTCGGTCTTGTCGGAATCGTCGATCCTCCCCGTCCCGAAATTCCCGAGGTTATGAACACACTTCGCGGCGCAGGCATCCGCATCTTCATGGTAAGCTGCTCCCGATAATCTATTGGACCTCTAGATCACGCAGAAGACTGACTAAATACAGGTTACCGGTGACTTTGCTCTCACTGCCCAGGCCATCGCAGCCGAATGCAACATCATCAGTGTTCCGCGCTCGCAAGTCGACGACATTTCTGCTCTCCAACGCATCAACCACGTCGACCCCTCGATCAAACACATCGTGGACGACCTCGAGTCCTCCCCGCGTCAAGCCCTCGTTCTCTCCGGGCCCGAGTTGATGACCCTCAGCGAAGAGCAGTGGGATCAGCTTGCTCAATACCAGGAAATCGTCTTCGCTCGCACGACGCCAGAGCAGAAGCTCCGCATCGTCCGCGAACTGCAATCCCGTCACGAGATCGTAGGCATGACCGGTGACGGCGTCAACGACGCACCCTCACTGCGCGCCGCTGACGTCGGCATCGCATTGGGTTCCGGAAGCGACATCGCCATTGAGGCCGCCGACATGGTTCTGCTTGATTCCTTCTCCAGCGTCGTCGAGGCCCTGCGGTATGGACGCATGATGTTCGACAACCTTAAGAAGACCGTCGCCTACCTCCTCCCTGCTGGTAGTTTCTCCGAGTTCTGGCCCGTCATGACCAACGTCCTCTTCGGCATCCCCCAGATCCTCAGCAGTTTCCTCATGATCATCATCTGTCTCTTCACTGACGCTGCTGCGGCCATTG